CTTGGCATTCCTTTAAAACAAGGCTTTGATGGTAGAATATCTTAAACAGGCATCTCCTTCTCTGGTTACTAGTTTAATGTCTCACAAATACAGACCATGAAGGTGGCCTTATTAACTGTCTTAGCAATTTAAGATAAGACAGATTATAATATATTTCATATGGTAGTTCACTAATAAGCTACATTATCACAATAACCTGTATAAAATTCAATCGGGATGATATTTCAGCCACTCAGCTACTAAAAATGAAAACACATAGGGGAGAAAGCTAAATTTTTAAGTCATATATGGATTAGCCAATAATCAATTTGTGAAAATTTTTATAAAACAGAAGTATAAGGACAATATATTTTGTGACACACTCTCAAGTGTATATAGTCATAAAACAAATCATTTTTAAAGGAGCACAAGTGGCCTTGAAATACAATAAAAAGATAGGTTGGCTGAAATGCTTAAACACTTCTTGTCTCTTAGAGTTTTTCACCTGTGACATAATATTTTATAGCAGTTCTCAAGTCTCCATCAGGAGGAAAAAAAATCCTTACAATTCAGAAAGAATCTAGCTTAAGGAAATCAGTAAATCTTAATTTTGAATATATAATTGATTTCTGCCCTAAGCAAGTATAATACATACAGTATAAAAATGTATTTTGGTATATCTCAGTCTTTAAAATCTTTAATAACTATTCTGTACTTACATTTGGACTTTTGTACAAAAATCCTTAACGTAAGTCTTTTAAAAGTATATCATAAACTGAAGAGAGGAGAGTCTTGGTTTGAGAGTCTTGGGCGGAAAAGCTCCCAAGACCCTTCCTCAACCCACAGTTTGGCACACTGGTAAGTACTTGTCACAACAAGCTATTTGGAAGGCTGAGATACTGGCACTCTTGCACTGAGAGAGACTCCATTTCCACAGAAAGGAATGTGGATATTGTGGCCTGTGCCTTTGCTGCCAGTGGGGACAAAAAAGTAGTCAGAGTGAGTTTCTGTGATATTTTAGCAGCCTAGCAAGCATTAAGCCCTGAGTACTACATATATATATAGCGAACATATAATATATGTACACACATATATACAGATATATACACATGTATACATATATTAGTAAATATAAATTAATATGTTACATATATTTATGTATGCAATATTTCATTTAATTTATTAAATATTTTGTTCTTGTATTTCTTTCAAGACTTTTATAGTAAATTTGAGTATAATTCTTGCCTTTTTAACATATTATTTTATAATATATAAAATTTGGAAATAAACTTGGGGGGTGAAGCATCATGAACCGCTTTATATTTTCTAATTTATTTCTTTGTACCCTTTATTTTGTTAAATAGGATGCTATAGTGAAGTATAATTTTGTTTTATTGTTTTCCTCCTTTCTGTTTTTGAGGGGGAAGGGCAGATAATAGGGTTGATATTAGAGCCTCATGCAATTATTTTACCCCTTGTTAGTTTTTCCGGTAGAACCTTGTACTAATTCTACTTTGGCTGCATAAAACTGTGATCCTCCTTTCTCTGCCTTCTGAGTAGCATGCATTACAGACATGAACTACCAAACCAGACTGTGATTTTTCCATTTCTTTGCGTATAAAAAGTAAGAAATATCTAACTCCCCAGTAGAAGGACTTTCATTCTTACAAACAGTATTCTCCAAGAGTAAAGGCAAATAGAAAAGACAGAAACAAGGAAGATTATTTGACCACTTGGGAGAGGAAGTTCTGGTGCTTGGAGCCTACTTTGTTTTGAATACCAAATGTGCTCCATAGTTAAATTGAAAACAACAACACAAAAAAGACTGCATATAGTTTTATCTTCTTCCCTTCCATGTTCTGGAAAGCTCCCCACCCCCAAAAAAATCCCTTGATCATCTTATTTCCCAGAGAGGTGATCATTATTCTCTTTAGTTAAGCTCACAGTTTTGAGAGTCTCAGTGAGTCTCATAACAGGATCTTCAGAGGTTTGTTTCTGATATTTTCTCCCCTATCCATTATTTAAGTCTCATTTGACAATGTGTCAGAATTAAAAACAGCATACAATCTTCAACTCAGGTGTCTATAGACTCAATATGATCATAATTCCTATTTGATTTATTTACCCAACTTGCCTCAGAGTTGTGTCTACAAGTTCCCTTGTGTCGGTTTACTAATAAACTTCAGGTTCTTGTTCACCCTGTCCCTGACTTGTTACTAACTTGTTCTAAATGTAAAACTTGGGAAATTATGTTACAAGCACATGGGGAAAATATTTTTCAAAAATCTAGATATAGTGGTAAAGAAAAAAATGGTAAGAAAAGGGGAGGGAGCTATTGAAAACAAAGATTCTGAGTCCAGTCAAAAGAGTTATGCTAGATAGGTGGACATTTTAACCATGTAAGAGAATGGTTGAAAAAAATGATAGAAAAGAAGATATGGAGGATTTACAATGTCTGTGAACTGTAGGTAGATAGTTATTTTAAGGCTGAAGTAATCATTTTTAGACAATTGTTAATAAATCCTACATCAAACCTGGTATATTGCCTAAGAAATTTTAAGTACTAGAGGTAGTTGAATTTGAAGGTACAAATGTAAGATCTTTGATTTTTTTTAATTTTTTTTTTTTGTCAGTCATGGGGCTTGAACTCTGGGCCTGAGCGCTGTCCCTCAGCTCTTCAGCTCAAGGCTAGTTCTCTACCACTTGAATTACAGCACCACTTCTGGTTTTCTGGTGGTTTATTGGAAATAAGAATTTCATGGACTTTCCTACCTGGGCTGGCTTTGAACCGCAATCCTCAGATGTCAGCCTCCTGAGTAGCTAGGATTATAGGCATGAGCCACTGGCACCCAGCTAGATCTTTGAATTTTAAACTTTACATTGAATCTACTACTACTATGCGTGTTTCCAGGAATTTATTAATCTCTCCTTTTAAAATTTCTTTCTTTGCCTACAGTACCAAGAGGAAAGCCTAGATACTTTTTTGTGGTCCTTTCTGGTCCAAATTGTTCATTTTGGAAAAGTAATCAAATAATCAAAAGCATTTTTAGTTCTTATAGTCTAGAGATGCTATTGGAAGTGCTGAAAGATGGAATTAGTATGTAAGCACAGGAATGGAAGGAAAACATAGATGTAGACACATTTGTAGAAGTGCAAACAGCTTATCTGTAACAATGGAGAGGGGGAAAGTGCAAGTCAGTTCTGTGGTTTGAAGCCTGCATGACAAAAACTACCATGACCCTCTGAAAGGGCATATAAGGGAATAAAAGAAGGCAAATGATGAATTTTGTGTGTCGAGTTCAAAGATTATTAACTGGGCACATTAAAGAAGAAGTTAATTCTGGAAGATAGAATTTTAATTGAAGTATCAGTAGAAAATAAATTAATATGTGTTGGGAAGCATAACATTGTTAGAGGAACAGAGCCAAAGTGGCATAAAATCTTACCTTTAAATGTGGAGGGAAAGAAGTCTTAAGAAAGAAATTAAGAAAATAAAGAATGGTGGTGGGCAATTTGGGTGGGTTTGGTGGACGATTTTGGAACAAGACAGATCCAAAAAAATGAACATAGTTAAAGATATTAGAAATCAGTGCAAACTGAACAAATCTTTGATGGTTTCCAAGCAAACAGCTTCTGCCAAGGGAAGCAAGGAAGCAGCTACTGGTCAAAGAATTGAAGTGAGAGGACTTAGAACAAAGTCCATCCGTAGCAACTAGAGTATTCTTTCACAACACATCAGAAAACACACGTTGCCCATAAAACTAGTTGTTTTTAATTAAATTCTGCAATATCCTGGAACTTTATCATTGCTTTTTTCCCCAGTTGCTAGAAATATTGCATTTCTTTAAAAAATAACAAAAGAAAATTAATAAGTGGTTTCAATTAGCTGAAAGTATGTGGTTTCATTATCATCTTGTTTTTATGTTCAAGGTTAGAGCATATAGCACAGATTAAAACTTTGGGTTGTTTCCGTAAATCTTGAGATCGACAAATTAACTGAGAAAGTTTACAATAGATTTTTTTTTCTTATTTTGGAAGTGTGGAAAAATTGGGTGCATTTATTTTTAATTTAATTTTAAAGTAATATTTTGTTGTGCTGAGACAGCATATATGCATATATATACATATATACATATATATAAATATATATATATATATATATGCACCTACTTTCTGTTATTGTTACTGAGGTGGTTGGCATACTTGTGACCAGTTGAGCTAGTGCACAATGTAGTTAAAATTAAAGAATAATTTATATGTAAAGAATGACATAATAATACATGTAGAAGATAGATTCTCTATGAACCAGAAATCTTCCATGAGAATGTGTTTTCCTGAAACCAAAGAGTTGTAAGGATCTACATGTTCCCACCAGTCCTCTTGGAGGAGTAAAAATTATTTATAGAACATATCATTATCCTAAGCTATCTTCCCCTTGGCTGAAATACCCTCTGCTAGTCAACAAAGCAACTGGAACAATTGTATCATAGTTCCATGTGACTGTTCCTGCTTGAAGCCAGTACTTCTCCAGGCTTTCCATACTAGGCATCCACTGCCAGCGGGTTTATGTAAGTCCTCACAATTCACATAAGAAGGGAATCTCCACTCAGCTCTCCACCCACACCACAAGAAATAAGTGAACGTCACTGCGTCTCTTGATCTAGCTATGTGCCTCAGAACATGAATTTCTTACTTCTTATTGATTCCCTAAAGTCTCCAGTTACAAAGGTTAAAGTTTCTACCAAAGTTGAATAATATTAAAATACTAATATCACATAGCGATAATTTTAGGTTAATACAGACATGTAGAGGTGTGCAGCATTATTTCATAATACATTCATAATCAGAGGTCATGGTGTTTATGTGATGTCATCCTAATTTTCTGATTAATTTGTTCTTTCTCCATGTTTTCCTGTGTTCCAATTGCATTTCATTGATTCATAGTTTTCATGTAAGTTTGTACTTTCTTTCCATATTTAAAGAATCTCTTTAATTCAATTTCTCTGTTTCTCCTCATACAGTCTGACAGCCAGATATGCAACTCAGTCTAATCACAGTGGAATTGCAACCAGTCAAAAAAAGCCTACTAGGTCAGTGAATATCTCTAATTTATTGCTTATTAGTGATATTCAAGTAAATGCCCACTGATACTTTTTTTCGTATCCCTCTAAATTTTCTTAAAACCCAACACATTCTTCTAAGTGGATTTCCCTCCAGAGACTCAGGGACAAGTCTATGTGTGTTAGGTGATTAATTAGGTTTGCCTTCTTCTATTTCCATTTAGTTTTATCTAGTGCTATACTGTGATAAATTCTACTCCCTATGTTGAGAGAAATTCAGGGGGAAATTGCTATGAAACTCGTATGATTATTTCTAGGTCACAGAATGTGTAAGTTTTACCAAAAGATTATAAATGATTTTTAATATGGATATGTGTTGAAATTGCATGTTTAAAGAGAGAGACGCAGATTTTTGATGTAGAAGTTCACACTAGGTCAGTTCTTCTGTCTCTTGTTTAAATTTCTGTTTCTTCATGCTATGCTTATTTAAAAGGCACATGTCAGTATATACTGTTTGGAGAATAATAGTATATAAAATGTTTTGGGAAAATTAAATTGATGAAGGATGATGGTAGACAAGAAGTGAGTAAAGTCACAGTAAAAATGCATCTCCAGTTATTGTGTGATTCTTTGACTCATCGGATAGCTCATTGGGGAGCTATCCAATGGTGCTGTATTAGTCATGGCTCCATTAATGAGCCATAATGTGCAATGCTTGGCCACAAAGACTGCTTTTGATGCCTTGACCAGAGGTAGTTGCCTTTCTTTCTGGCTATGGTTCTCTGCCTTAATTTTCTTAAGAGTAAAAATGATTCTGGAGAAATAGTCTATAAATTGTACTTAATTAAAAGTTACAATGAATTAACATGATTTAAGAGGTATAAGAAACAATGACCTGCTCTGTATTCTTAGCATCTTTATCACTCCTTATAAAACTTGGACATGAAAGATGCACATTCTCTCTCTTATTCTCTCTCTCTCTCTTTTCCTAGTTTTCTTCATCTCAATTCCCTTTTAATTATTTTGATGAATGACCTGGAGCCTCTGGCTGCCTGTCAAATTAGGGTAATGGGAAGAGCAAATTTGTTTTTTGTAATTTGTTTTCATTTGTTCTTCTGAGAACTGAAGATCACTTAGCTTCATGGGGCACATCAAAGACTAAAATGTATTTTAATTGCTTTCTAGAAACAACTGAGTTCCATTATAAGCAGGGCAAGTTGTGTGACAAAATTTGTTTGCATATGTGAGTCTGAAGTGAAATTTCTAAGACTATGGTTATGTCTTCAGGAATTGTTCTCAGATTTATTATGATTAGGTAATTTGACCCAATTAATTAATTGAGTTCTTTCAGCAGATCACAGTCACTGGTACTGTAAATTCCTAGTGTCTGTGTTGTTTTGCTGTACTTACAAATCCTTATAGGTCCAATTGAATAAAAGTTAAATGCTGGAGTCATTTGGAAAAAATTCTAATCTTGTGTATGACACAACCTCTAATTAGCCAAATAGCTGAAGGGAATATTTATTAGCCACATGTATTTAAACTCGAAAATACAGTCAAGATTTTGAAGTTCTTATCTGTTCTAAGACATCAACATTTCTTTAATGTGAGCATTTGCATCTTTCTAATGCACATTCCATTTTACAATACTTATTTCTGTTGTAAAAGCATTTATATTTTCTAAGGGTTTGGTTTCTTAAACAATATGCAGAAATAATATGTGTTATTATCAACACAAGTTCAAATTTAATTATGGATAGTGAAATTTTGATATATGACAGATACAAACAACTTGTTCATAAAAGTTTATTAGAGGAGACCTGTAAAAAATTTAATGCACCGTTTATGATCTTTGGATTGCTTTGTCAGTTTTCCTTTGAGAATAGGAGTTTTCAAAGTAGTACACAGTGTCACTCACTTGGGGGCAGCAAATACCAACAAAGAGGTTGGCAATAGTTGTTTCTTAAATAGATCCTAGATTGCCAATATTACTTTTTAAAAGTAATTCCCAATGTTTTGAGTTGGTTATGAATATTCTTTATATGATAGTAGTATAAAATAAAAGTTAAACATATCTCATGAAATAATAATTGAAATTACAAAGGGAAAAGGACCCAAAGTCATATTTAAGTTATAATCCAAATGAAATAACATTGCATCATTTCTTTCCTCCTGGCTTGTTCTTCACAAACGGAGTAGCTAAGACTTTTCTCACTAGAAATAAATTTTATATTGTCATTCTATTAGGTCTTCCTCTTCTAAGACTTTTCTTCTGTCTTGTCATATCTGCTCTGTGATCATGTGGCCATTCTTGCAAGATCACCAGTGAAAGTCTAGATGATCAGAATGAAAGTTTTCACATGAGGTAACACAGTCAAATACAAATTAACATGACATTCTCAGCACCATGTTTTAATTAGGAAAGCTTTACTATCATAGATAGTCAGTCAATATTTTTTATTTACCATTTGTTTGATAACTTTATCCCAGTCATTACTTATTTACAAGGCTTAAAACACAGCCATCTAAGATAAACAGCACCCCATCCATTGAATAAAACCTTAAGAATAACTTCAATTAGCTGATAGCTGACAACCTAACGATGATTAAATGGTATTGTTTTGATTTCCTTTACATGTAGTTGTTTTGGTATTTTTTAAGTCCAGGTTTTATTCATCTGGAATGGAGGAGTAAGTATCTGGTTAGACGAAGGTCACTGTACTTTAATCTTTCCCTGTCATTAATCTTTGGTGCCACGTTTTGTGAAAAGTGAAGCAAGAGTTTTCTGATAATCTCTAGACTTTTTGTTTAGCTATTTGTTAAACTACCATTTTCTGCTAGGTACATTTTAGAAGATACTTACTATGTTGTGGTTTTCCCATTTACTCTTTCCTGCCCAGAATCCCTTCCTCCTTATTTTTGAAATGTAAGATAATGATGTAATTGTTCTCATGTTATTTCAGGCTTCCAGGGCCCTCTAGGGTGCCGGCTGCAGGCAGCAGCAGCAAGGGCCAAGGAGCCTCCAATCTAAATAGGAGAAGTCAGAGCTTCAACAGCATTGACAAGAACAAGCCTCCCAATTATGCAAATGGAAATGAAAAAGGTAAGCATTCATTGTTGTGTCATTACAGCCCAAAGCCATCTGAGACTTGTTCACTAACACTTTAAATTTAATATGTGAATGGTAGAACAGCTTTGGCAATGAGCCTGGTACCAGTGGAATTTTCATGTGTTTCCTAACTCTCCTCCTGGATTCAACCTTGCTTTAGGATTCTTTTTATCTGAAGAGCATTTTAAGAAAGTAAGCTTTTGCATTTTAAAGTAGATAATTATGTAACCTGAACATAAATCTATTTCACACACACAAAAATCTTCCAGGATGCAAGCATACAGCATGTTTATGCCTTTTGTGTTTTATATTTAATATAGTTTTATGATATCTGGATAAAAATGATTAGACAGTTTTCTCTTATAAACCATATTGCTATATAAAGTTATATGGTTTATATTAACTTTATTTGAATCCTTTTGATGGCTAACATAAGTGCTATAAGGATCTGAGGAAGTGAAGGGGATCATCAGGTTGTGGTAGGTATTTACCTTAGAAAGCAACACCCTCAGAAATATTTGAGACCACAGTTTTCCCCAGACAAATTATTCATGTTTACAGAGTTTTTAACAGTAGTACCTAATATAAATATCAAGTCATCATATCAATAGGAAGTCAAGAACAACCACTGGAAGTCTGTGTTAAACACAGATTTTCAGTTGTCTAGATTGGACTCAGCTCTCTGGAATAGGTGAAGTGAGCATTTAAAGGGGTGTTAACTCGAGACCTTTCTTCCCAGCAGAGCTGAGAAGGATGGGCAGCCCTCACCTGGGTCATCAGGGAACTGAGATTTTGCACTGAGTCTTGAGTCCTGTGGCTAGTGGAGTGACAAGAGTGTCCTGCTGCGTTTCCGAGTATTTTTAAAGCCATGGATGTTTTTTTAACTCTTCATGGTACTGAGCCCCATATGAAGCAGCATTTGGAGTTTTATTAAACCAAGCCATTCGCAAAATGCTCTTGAATAATGAACTATGAACTCTTACGTAAGCTCATTGTAAATCGTTTCATTTAGGTAATCAGACAGCTTTCAGTTATTCATAAATTGATGGAGTACTCTATCAATCATATTTCCTTTTGTGGTGGGAGATCTGGTCATGGGTCCTGAACTCTGGACCTGGGCACTGTCCCTCAGCTCTTCAGCTCAAGGCTAGTGCTCTACCATTTGAGCCACAGCACCACTTCTGGCTTTTTTCTTTTTGTTTATGGGGTGCTGAGGAATCGAACCCAGGGCCTCATGCGTGCAAGGCAAGCACTCTACCACTGAGCCACCTTCCCAGTCCCTCATATTTACTTCTGCGACTGTCTTCCTCTACAAATGGAACATAACCTGTGCAAACTTGAAACCCTAAGCACAGACAAGTGTGTTTTGCTCCCTGAATATATTCCTATCTGTTAGATCAAATGGGACAAGAAGAGAAGAAAAAGTGTGTATTTGGAAATTAGTAGAGGTTTCTCTTTAAATTACAGAATACAGTCTTTGATTTAAGATCTAATAAATATCACTGAAAATGTATACTTTTCCTGGGAAGAAAAGAGAGTGTTTTTCAATGAAAAGACAAACACACTTTTCTTTATTTTATGGACTTCTTCAACAGTGTCCAAGTGCTGGGCACTGGTGGCTCATGTCTGTAATCCTATTACTCAAGAGGCTGATATCTGAGGATTGCAGTTCAAACCTAGCCTGGGAAGGAAAGTTAAGAGATTCTTTTATCACCAATAAACTACCAAAAGGCCAGGAGTGGAGCTTGAATGAAAAACTAAAGGACAGTGCCCACCCCCAGAATTCAAGCCTCAGTATGGAAAAAGTGTCCTAAATGTTCAATGTTAATACTTCAATCATATCTTATGGAATTTCAAGCAGAGTTGATAAGTTTATGAATAAGATATGTTTGATGACTACTGCAGTATTCATTTAAACTACTAGATATTCAGTGATACATTTTGACAAAATACTAACAATTTTGACTTAGAGCGTCTCTAAATAAACTAGTGCTTGACTATTATATATGTCTAAATGTTTGTGTAATATGACAGTCTTTCAAAGGAAAATCCTGAACATACACCAGAATGAAAAGTCTTCATGGCTGCTGAATCTCTTAAGGATGTGTCTGGTAGTATAAAATTAGAACATAGCAATATTTATAATAACCACAAGGTGGAGACAGACGTCACATATATGATCGTTATAGTCAATTGCTTAGATACATATGAACAAAAGACAAGAATTTTTTAATAAGTTATTTTATTGTAAAAATACCGTACAGAGGGGTTACAATTACATGAGCAAGGTAATGAGTACATTTCTTATCAAGCATTGTTGCTTCTTCCTTTGTTTCGCCTTACCATCCATCCCCCCACCCTGCCAAAGTTGTAAAGTTTGTTTTTCAACATAGCATCTTGTATATTTCATTGCTGCAATGGGTCCACCTGTATCCCATGGCAAAGGACATAGCTAGCAAGATCAGTAGAAAGCCCACAGATTGGGAGAAGATTTTCACTATCCCTACAACGGACAAGGGTCACATATCTAAAATATACCTGGAACTCAAAAAATTAAATCCCCTAACAACAAATCCTCAAAGAAACAACTGCCCAATAAATAAGTGGGCTAAAGACTTAAAGAGAAACTTCTCTGAAGAGGAAAGAAGGATGGTCAGTAGACACATGAAGAAATGCTCAACCTCTCTAGCCATAAAAGGAATGCAAATCAAAACAACACTGAGATACCACCTCACCCCAGTTAGAATGTCTATAATCAAGAACTCTAAAGTTTGTTTTTCAACACAGCATTTTACATCTCATTGTTGCAATGAGTCCACCTATGTCCCTATTTAAACAATTTGGTTTTTTCCCTTCCCCTACCCAAATTTTACAAACATCAAATACAGTGAAAACAGGGGTTATACTGTGTGTGTGGGGGGGGACATACAAAGTAACAAAACAATCACCTTATAAATATATTAGAAACAATAGCAAGAAAGTAAAAACCACTTGTGCCCTTATCTTGGGGTTCATTTTGCCTAACATCATCTTATCTGACCTTTTCTGCTTATCTCAGACATATACTACAAACAAGACCACACTAAAGCTACCAGCACAACTATGTTTATTGAAGCATGATTTACTATAGCTAAGATCTGGAACCAACCCAGATGCCCCTCAGTAGATGAATGGATCAAGAAAATGTGGTATATATACACAATGGAATTCTATGCCTCCATCAGAAAGAATGAAAATGCCCCATTTGTTAGGAAATGGAAAGACTTGGAAAAAAATATATTAAGTGAAGTAAGCCAGGCCCAAAGAAACATAGGCCCCATGGTTTCCCTTATTTGCAATAACTAGTATATGTCTGAGACAAGCAGAAAAGGTCAGATAAGTTGATGTTAGGTGAAATGAACCAGTATTCAAATATTTTTTTCTTTCATGCGATTGTTTCTAACATATTTATAAGATGATTTCTTTGTTGCTTTGTATGTCCCTCCCCCATGGTATAACCCCTGCATTCACTGTATTTGATGTTGGTATAATTTGGGGAGGGGAAGGGCAAAAACAAACCGTTTAAATAGGGAGGGATACAGGTGGACCCATTGCAACAATGAGATGTACAAGTCGTTCGAACTTTTCAACTTTGGCTGGGGAGGGGGATCGGGGGTGGGTGTGGGGTGGGAGGTGATAGGAAGGGATGGGAAGGAAAAACAAAGGAGGAGGCTACAATGCTTGATAAGAAATGTACTCACTATCTTGCCCATGTAATTGTAACCCCTCTGTATAGTATTTTCACAGTAATAAAATATAATTCCCAAACATTTGAAATCTGAGATCACACATTCATAGATACTTATTATACATCAAATGTGGGCAACAAATTTCTATCAACTTGAAAAGTATAGTTTAATTTAATTGCTTGATATAATAAGGCCATCTTGTATGTATGTATTTTAATATCACATCCCATTTTCTGTTAACTGTAGGGATACATTGTGGCAGTAGATCTAATACTGTTTTCTTAATCATGTCAAGCTTTTTCATATCCAATCCGTTGTTTTAAATTGTAAGAACACATAAAACATGTATTATGTGAAAATTCATTTACAGTTTCCTGTGCATTTTAAATTAATATGCTTGATTTAACCTTTTCAAATGAAAAATTATCTATAAGATGCTTTCTGGATGCTTCTAAGTAGAAACATACTATTTGCTTTCATTTCCAAGGCCTACATGATAAACTATATGAGTCAGTTCTGGAGTGTATAAAAGGTATAATAGATAGTAAAGGGTAATTCCCACTTGAAACTATTTCATTTCCCCATTGAAGAGAAACAAACTGTTCAAAGTGTTATAGTTTTCATTTGTATAATTTGTAAAAAAAATAAAAAAATAAAAAGCAATAATTTATTTGCAAATGGTGTGACATCTGATGAAAAAAAATCAGTAGTGAATCCTAAACTGATCTTCCAAAGATTCATCCAATGTCATTTCAGTAATAAGGCAATTCTGAAAAATGTGTGCTCATTTTATCCTCTCACCAAATGAATTAAAATATCAGTGAACATTGTCATAAATCATTACTTGCAGAGAAGGCTGAAATAGAAATATCCCAATAGCATGAAATGTCATCTTAGAGGCATGTCTGAATGAATTGTAGAAACAAATTTCTCACAGAACAAATGGTGAAATGAAGATAGCATCTTTTGTAAAGCCTTTCTTTAAGTGTACTTTACTTCCCTCTTCTGATACCTGCCGTTTAGAAATTGACAATGAATGATGCATTCTGACACCACCATTTATCCATTTGCCCATGTGTTCTGTAAGAGTACTCTAACTAGTTAGAGACACTCTTCAAAGAAAGCTTAAATCCCAAACTCATACCAGATTCATTTGGGCATATAGTTTGCATGCTTGAAATGAGCTTAAGAGATCATTGTTGTATTACCAAACCTGCGATAAATATGGAAATTGCCAAAGAGGTTTAAAATGATTAGGAATGTAAA